CTGAAGCTTCTGCGGCTCGAACGAGGTAAGCGGCGGCCTGCGGGCTGGGACGAGGTCGGAGGAGAGCCGGGCGGCTGCGGTGTCGGCTACTACGGCCCTCTGCTGCTGGGCGGCTGTGGCGGCTGCGGCGGCGCTCGGCTGCTGCGGGTGTTGCGGGTCTCCCCCCCCAGCGAATGGCAAGCCCCGTGGGGCTTGACAATTGGGTGGTACTCTTCATTGTACAAAAATAACAAGGTAACAGGACTGCTTAAAGCATTTCCTTTCAAATGAATAGCGCAATGGCTTAATTACGTAATATTATATTGATAATTCAGATTCAGTAAAATACTGGAGGTGGTTACAAGTTTACCTATTAAAAACTTCCAGCAAGGTTATTTTGTCATGAATGAAGGCGAATTATACATGTCCCAGGATAATGTTGCAGGATCCAATCTAGATCGGACACCAGGACTGGAGCCCATCTTCGGAGAAATTCTCTCTAGTATTTTTGTCTTCTCTAGCAAAATAAAAAAATTGCAAAGTATTTTTTCAAAATATCCATAAACCAATTCTCAGGTGTTTATGTCTTTTTTCATATTCCACAGGAGCAACTTTCCTTAATATGTGAGCAAAATAGTAAGCTGAGAAAGGAAATTGAGGTCCTTAAGGTGAATCTGGCAGCAAAGAAAATGAAACGTGGAGAACTTACCCGGAGTTTTTCGGTAAACTCTTGCATTAATGCGTTGGTGTGCATGTGGGAGATTCAACAGGGTTGGTTTGGTGTTCCAAAATACTTACTTCATAAATGGCAGGATGTGATTCTTTATCTTTTATTTAAGAAACAATGCCTTTGCTCTCCCTTCCAGGGAATTTGTGGTTTACAAACAATTAGAATCTTTAGCAATTTTATCCCATTACACAATTTTTGTTCCATAAATCCACAACCTAATAAACTCTATAGAAATCTCACTGAATTCTAGAGTTCTTTTTTCCCCAAAGAAATAGATATAGACTTGCTGCTTCATTACAGTAATTGCTTTCACTTTCTTACTAATATATTGTACTAGCAACTATTCAGCCTCAGATGAATCCAGGATTCAAGTTTTTAAACCTTGAAGCATTTTTGGATACCTTAAGAGACAACATGTAGCTTCTAGTTTCTCTTTTGAAATTATTCAGCAAATTGGCAAGTAACTGTCTGATTTCCTGCTGATTTTTTTTATAGAAGATTGTTTGTGTTAATCTTCCCCAAATCCCTCAAAGAGTAAACAATGCAATGAAAATTCTGTCAGTTATATCTTCAGACAAATGCGAGATGGTGGGAAAAGTATCTGACAAAAGCTTCCTTATGGTCTTATGGGTCACTGAAACTAGTATATAAAGAATATGTTTACTTAACATTTTTTGTCTTAAAACTTGCCCTCTCCTGTATTGTTACTCAAATTTCAGCTTCAACAATGCCTACTTAAAAAAAAGATGAGATTTGTGCACCTGGAAGATGCCAAGGATGAAGATGACTACACTAACTTCTCCTGCCGTTTTCACCTAGCCACAAAAATCCCACTCACAGTGAACCAAGGAGAAGCTCTCATTCGATTTGAAGAAGAATCTGGTATGGGGTGTATATTATAGCAACAGCACTTATATAGACTTATATAGCTGCATAGTGATTTTACAGCCCTCTCTAAGTGGCTTACAGAGTCAGCATATTGCCCCCAACAATCTGGGTCCTCATTTTACCAACCTCGGAAGGATGGAAGGCTGAGTTAACTTTGAGCCTGTCAGGGTTGAATTCCTGGCAGTGGGAATGCAGTGTTAGCCTAAATACTCTGTTCTAAAGACTGTGCCACCACAGCTCTTCAGATGATACTTAAATGATACAGTTCCTCATTTTTTAAATAAGGGAGGTCATGTTAAGTAAACTCTTCATTTTCAGACAAGAAAATTTTAGGATCAATTCAAATATGAATTTATCTTAATACGTTTTGATGTTTGAAATTCTAATCTTATCATCCCCACTGTAAAAACAATACAGAAGGAAATTTTTTAATTTGATGTTCTTTAAGGTCCTGATCTCTTACCAGCCTTCTTGTAGATGAACTAGCTGCGATTGAGTTCACATTAGATAAGCTAGGTCTTGCCTAAAAGTGAATTATCTATGAATGATTGGGTTCACACATCATGCCAAGCTTTGAACAAGAGGAAGAGTCTTTTTTTCTGTCAAGAAGCTGCTTTTCCATTTTTTAAATTAATTAATTTGTTGCCAATCTTACTATCACACGACTAGGTGCCTTACAATCGGATATGACTATCGTATATAAATTTAAAAGAGGAAAACAAGCAATAAATATATTTACTGTTTGGGGGAAAATGGCAAAATATATACTCATACGGCAAGATCCTTTTTTTAAAAAAAATAAAATTAAAATCTTTGTTTTTTAGATTATGTTAAGTCTAGTTAACACTTATCATTTTGGCCCAAGTCAGATGATGACCCAAATAGAGAGTCAATGAAAAGGGAACTTAAAGCTGGCTATTGGCCAGCTTACCATAACTTACAACACTTCAGAACACTAAACCAAATTAGATCCCATTATTGCATAGCACAATATGTGAACTAGCCAGTGCTGTGGTGAGAGATGTCAATGCCAATAAAAATAACCTTGCCCCAAATGCTGAATCATGAATATTCTGAGTTGTTACTGGATCTATCAGTACACAATGCAAGAATGGAAAAACACAAACTTTTTGAGAATACTTCCTTCAGGGATCTGTTATCCTGTTTTCCTTGGCAAGAAACTTTGACCATTAGAGTGTCGTAATTGTAGGGGTGATATTATGTTTGAGTTGGGAAACCATGCAAAACTAGCAGCAATACGTCAACAAAATCCCATGTAAAAAACAAATATTGTTGAAACCATGGCTTTGCTCACAGTTGTTGATTAATATGACTACATGTCTAATGTGAAGTTGAACTATTTAGTCAATGTTCAATATGGAAACCTGTTAATATGTTGTTCTTCAGTTGCTCAGCAGCTGATTAGAAAACATAACCATATCATCAACCTGGAAAATAAGGAGATTGCTTTGAAAGCCTGCCCTNAAAATACAAATGCTTTTGTTCAGACCTTCAGTTTGTCAGTCTAATATATGTCTATTAAGAAATATGTTAAGAATGCAATATACAATCTTGATTAACTGACAATGTGTTCCATGGTCAAAAAACAGTAAGATTGACATATGCATGTTCCTATGGGTATAGCTTCAGCTGACAGGGGCACATCCACATGAGTATTCATTGGGTGGTACTCTTCATTGTACAAAAATAACAAGGTAACAGGACTGCTTAAAGCATTTCCTTTCAATTGAATAGCGCAATGGCTTAATTACGTAGTATTATATTGATAATTCAGATTCAGTAAAATACTGGAGGTGGTTACAAGTTTACCTATTAAAAACTTCCAACAAGGTTATTTTGTCATGAATGAAGGTGAATATACATGTCCCAGGATAATGTTGCAGGATCCAATCTAGATCGGACACCGGGACTGGAGCCCATCTTCGGAGAAATTCTCTCTAGTATTTTTGTCTTCTCTAGCAAAATAAAAAAATTGCAAAGTATTTTTTCAAAATATCCATAAACCAATTCTCAGGTGTTTATGTCTTTTTTTCATATTCCACAGGAGCAACTTTCCTTAATATGTGAGCAAAATAGTAAGCTGAGAAAGGAAATTGAGGTCCTTAAGGTGAATCTGGCAGCAAAGAAAATGAAACGTGGAGAACTTACCCGGAGTTTTTCGGTAAACTCTTGCATTAATGCGTTGGTGTGCATGTGGGAGATTCAACAGGGTTGGTTTGGTGTTCCAAAATACTTACTTCATAAATGGCAGGATGTGATTCTTTATCCTTTATTTAAGAAACAATGCCTTTGCTCTCCCTTCCAGGGAATTTGTGGTTTACAAACAATTAGAATCTTTAGCAATTTTATCCCATTACACAATTTTTGTTCCATAAATCCACAACCTAATAAACTCTATAGAAATCTCACTGAATTCTAGAGTTCTTTTTTCCCCAAAGAAATAGATATAGACTTGCTGCTTCATTACAGTAATTGCTTTCACTTTCTTACTAATATATTGTACTAGTGCAACTATTCAGCCTCAGATGAATCCAGGATTCAAGTTTTTAAACCTTGAAGCATGTTTGGATACCTTAAGAGACAACATGTAGCTTCTAGTTTCTCTTTTGAAATTATTCAGCAAATTGGCAAGTAACTGTCTGATTTCCTGCTGATTTTTTTATAGAAGATTGTTTGTGTTAATCTTCCCCAAATCCCTCAAAGAGTAAACAATGCAATGAAAATTCTGTCAGTTATATCTTCGGACAAATGCGAGATGGTGGGAAAAGTATCTGACAAAAGCTTCCTTATGGTCTTATGGGTCACTGAAACTAGTAGATAAAGAATATGTTTACTTAACATTCTTTTGTCTTAAAACTTGCCCTCTCCTGTATTGTTACTCAAATTTCAGCTTCAACAATGCCTACTTAAAAAAAAGATGAGATTTGTGCACCTGGAAGATGCCAAGGATGAAGATGACTACACTAACTTCTCCTGCCGTTTTCACCTAGCCACAAAAATCCCACTCACAGTGAACCAAGGAGAAGCTCTCATTCGATTTGAAGAAGAATCTGGTATGGGGTGTATATTATAGCAACAGCACTTATATAGACTTATATAGCTGCATAATGATTTTACAGCCCTCTCTAAGTGGCTTACAGAGTCAGCATATTGCCCCCAACAATCTGGGTCCTCATTTTACCAACCTCGGAAGGATGGAAGGCTGAGTTAACCTTGAGCCTGTCAGGGTTGAATTCCTGGCAGTGGGAATGCAGTGTTAGCCTAAATACTCTGTTCTAAAGACTGTGCCACCACAGCTCTTCAGATGATACTTAAATGATATAGTTCCTCATTTTTTAAATAAGGGAGGTCATGTTAAGTAAACTCTTCATTTTTAGACAAGAAAATTTTAGGATCAATTCAAATATTATGAATTTATCTTAATACGTTTTGATATTTGAAATTCTAACCTTATCATCCCCACTGTAAAAACAGTACAGAAGGTAATTTTTAATTTGATGTTCTTTAAGGTCCTGATCTCTTACCAGCCTTCTTGTAGATCAGCGGTTCTCAACCTATGGGTCGCGACCCCATTTGGGGTTGATCGACCATTTCACGGGGGTCGCCAAGCAAGGCTGTCCGCCATTTTTTTTGTCCGCCATTTTTTCCCCCTTTTCCGGCAGGTGCCTTACCTCCCTTGGGCTGGGCCAGCTGGTGGTCGGCCTGCTCCGTCTCTGCCGCTTGCCAGCTATGCCTTGGCCCGTGCAGGGGGCGGAACCACGCATGCGCGGCGCTCCCAGGCAGGGAAAGTCCTCGACTTACGACCGGTTGGGTAGTCTTCGACTTAGACCGGTTTAGTCCTCAACGTACAACTGGTTTAGTCCTCGACTTACGACCGGTTTAATCCTCGACTTACGACCGGTTGGGGTCGCGGCATTAAAAAGGTTGAGAACCACTGTTGTAGATGAACTAGCTGCGATTGAGTTCACATATCAGATAAGCTAGGGCTTGCCTAAAAGTGAATTATCTAGGAATGATTGCGTTCACACATCATGCCAAGCTTTGAACAAGAGGAAGACTCTTTTTTTTTCTGTCAAGAAACTGCTCTTCCATTTTTAAAATTAATTAATTTGTTGCCAATCTTATTGTCACACGACTAGGTGCCTTACAATCGGATATGACTATCGTATATAAATTTAAAAGAGGAAAACAAGCAATAAATATATTTACTGTTTGGGGGAAAATGGCAAAATATATACTCATACGGCAAGATCCTTTTTTAAAAAAAATAAAATTAAAATCTTTGTTTTTTTAGATTATGTTAAGTCTAGTTAACACTTACCATTTTGGCCCAAGTCAGATGATGACCCAAATAGAGAGTCAATGAAAAGGGAACTTAAAGCTGGCTATTGGCCAGCTTACCATAACTTACAACACTTCAGAACACTAAACCAAATTAGGTCCCATTATTGCATAGCACAATATGTGAACTAGCCAGTGCTGTGGTGAGAGATGTCAATGCCAATAAAAATAACCTTGCCCCAAATGCTGAATCATGAATATTCTGAGTTGTTACTGGATCTATCAGTACACAATGCAAGAATGGAAAAACACAAACTTTTTGAGAATACTTCCTTCAGGGATCTGTTGTCCTGTTTTCCTTGGCAAGAAACTTTGACCATTAGAGTGTCGTAATTGTAGGGGTGATATTATGTTTGAGTTGGGAAACCATGCAAAACTAGCAGCAATACGTCAACAAAATCCCATGTAAAAAAAAAATATTGTTGAAACCATGGCTTTGCTCACAGTTGTTGATTAATATGACTACATGTCTAATGTGAAGTTGAACTATTTAGTCAATGTTCAATATGGAAACCTGTTAATATGTTGTTCTTCAGTTGCTCAGCAGCTGATTAGAAAACATAACCATATCATCAACCTGGAAAATAAGGAGATTGCTTTGAAAGCCTGCCCT